GAGAGAAGAGAGAGAAGAAGAAGAGAGAAGAAGAAGAAGAAGAAGAGAGAGAGAGAGAGAGAGAGAGAAAGAAAGAAATGAGAAAGAAAAAAGAAAAAGATAATAATTATTTATTAACGTACGCACGCACGCGCGCGCGTGACAAAGTGCTTCGAAGATGATGTCGAACATGATGATCGTTCGGTAGTGACCGTGAAACGTGTTGCTTTGTTCTCTTTGCGCAGGTGAGTTGAGATTATCTGAGTCACCATTCGATCTCTGAGAGATTACCTTTGCGCGGGGGAAGCGAGGGAACTAGGGGAGGCCAGCCGCTCGAAAAATATATATATAAAAAAAAATAATATATATACGTGCATAACGTATATATCAAACATAAAAATTTAAAAAAAAAAATAAAATATATATATATATATATATACATGTATATATATAATGAAACCGTTCCGAAAATCTTCCAGAATCTATATATAAATATAAGAGAAAAAAATCGGATGTAAAAAGAATCTGATGTATATAAAGCGAAGCCGAAAGCGGATTAAATAATAACAAAGTATAATATAATATAAATTAATAATACATCGAAGAAGAGAAAAATCGTTTTGCTTCTTCTCGAGCTTCGTCCTCGATCTCGATGGATCGTCTACCCATAGAGAAATGGATAATATTTGCGGTTATATATATTTTTTACGGTTCAGACTGACGGGACGCACGGACGAATTAAAGATATATATATATATAAATAAATAAATAAATAAATAAAAAGGGGTGGGGATGGTTTCTTCTTCTTCTTCTTTCTTTTTTTCTTCTTCAATATGAACTGAACAAATTGTTAATTAATTTCGTCTAACCGTTCCTCTCTTGCTTGAGTGATCGTGTGTTTCTCTGTGCCTGTATGTATGCGTGTGCGCGCGCGCGTGTGTGTGTATGCATACGTACACATTAACATATCTTTGGATGGTAGCCGAATAGACACGAGAGCGAGTCCAGGTGAACGAGAGACGGAGAGAGAAAGAGAAAAAAAGGACGAGTTAAATGGTGCGAGACTGCGAGCGAAAGGGTGTGCGTGAAAGAGAGAGATAGAGAGCGAGTGTGTGCGCTCGTGTGGGCGTGTGTTTGTGCCTCGCGTGAACGTTTGAGCGCGTGTACGGTGCACATCCATTTGGAAGAAAGAAAGAAAGGAAGGAAGAAAGAAAGAAAGAAAGAAAGAGAGAGGCATCGTTGAGTCGCTGAAATGCTCTTGAAATGGTATGGCAAAACGAGACCGTAACGGTCCTCTTCGCAGCTAGCCGTACGGGATCGAGGCAAAGCCGCGATCAAGCAGCGAGCAAAGTAGCGAAAGCGTGCGTGAGAGCGAAAGAAAGAATCTGAAGAGGGAATGACGACGAACACAGAGGGGTGGGGACGCACACGGAAAAGCGGGTGCGGCATAAAACACTTAACATGGGACAGAGTTGACGGACAGCCGGTTCGAACACGGTGACTCTTTTTTGCTGGCTCTACCCTTCCTCTTGCTTCCCCCCACAAATATAGAAATACGTATTATTATAATATATATAGTATATCAGTTACATTATTTTAAATATACACAATTATATATATATATATAAATTACTATATATAATAATTGCCTGATTGCATACTTAAGTTTGAATATATATATATATATATGTATGTATATGTATATATGCATATATATATATATATGTATTATAATTACACAACATAGTTAATAATAAGTGTTGTACATACGATAAATTTAAGGCGTGGAGAACTGTTTAAGGGAGAGAGATTTGTTCGTTTCAGACTCGGAGGAGACGTCGAGTGGCGGTGGCTCCCAGTCACCGACTCACATTCGCATCAACTTCGAGCGTTGCTTTCGCAAGGAGTACAGCGCTTCGTCGCTTCAAGGGAAGACACAGTCGTCATCGTCGGCTGCAACCGCGTCGATGGAGGACTCGCAACAATATTCCGACTCCGAGTCGGAGCAAAAGGTGTCGAAAGAGAATTTGAGCAGTGCCATATTTAATCTGGTCGCCGGCGAGTCGGAGATCAGCCAGAGCGACTTCGAGGGATCGTTCAAGGTGGAGAACGAGAGAACGGAAGGCTCTGTACGGGACTTCTGCGTGAAAGAGGGCGACGTGTACCGGTGCACCGTATGCCATCGTACCTACACACACATCAGCAACTTCTGCCGGCACTACGTCACCTCGCACAAGCCTAACGTCAAGTACTATCCGTGCCCGGTTTGTTTTAAGGAATTCACGCGGAAAGATAACATGGTCGCCCACGTTAAGATCATACACAGCCTTAAGCCGCACATGAGTCTTAGCAGCAGCGGCGGCGGTAGCATGGGCCAACAACGGTAGACCGCTCTTCCCGCGTGCAACACCACCACCACCGCAACCACGGCCCTTCTCAGCCTACGTTCCCTGGCTCTTTCCCTTCGTTTTCTGCCTCTCGAGAAATAATATAATAATAATAATAATAATAATAATAATACAAATTACCGACGACGCTTCTCCTACCGTTCCTGGAGCCGTTGCTCGCATCGTTGTCGCGTGCAATCAATTGATACAAAGCGTCGAGCATAAATCGTTGATCGATTTCTCCGTCGTGGCGAGAGCCGGGGAATGTTGCGCGAGGAAGAGCGGAGAGTGTTGAGAAAAAGCTCAAGGAAGATGCGAGTCGTGCATAAAAAACCCATGGCTGTAAATAAAATTTAAAAAAAAAAAAAAAAAAAAAAAGAAAGAAGGAAGTACGAGAAGAAAAGTTGCAACGTTTCGAACGAACGAGGAGAGAACGAAATAGTAGTAATAGTAGCAATAGTAGTTAGTAGTGGTGGTAGTCGCGTTGATAAGATGCAAAGGGGATAAAATTGTCGAAAAAAAGGATTACCTCGTCGATGGATAAATCATTGTTAACATACGTAGATAGTTATAAATTTGTTCTTTTTTATACACTTGACGTTCGATAAGCGAGAAATACAGGGCACGAAAACGAAAAAAGTGGAATTCGAAAAAAGAATTTTATATATATATATATATATGTATAAAACATTGTTCCCATAACTGGGAATGGAGAAATATATTAATCGTGGACCACGTCTGTTGCAGCTCAAAACAATTTTTTCCATTTCGAATGGAATCAGCAACAGGAAACAAAATGAATTTTTTAAATCGAGGGATATACATGATATTAAATGTAGCAGCTAGTGAAATCAAATATTGCAAATCGAATGCAGAATACCTCCTATTCGTGGTATTTTATATATATATATACATATATATATATATATATATGAATCAATATGTAATACTACTGTAGTTTTCTTTCGATTCGTTCGAAAATTGTGACTCTTTCGGACGAAACCGGCTGGGTCTGTATGTACTCTCGTCCTGTTTCGTGAACCGAAAGCTTCCTTTCTCCGAAAAAGAGGAATACATTTTTTTTTTCGTGCGCGTAACACGCAACGGGCATTAAGTTACAAACGAACGAGCTTTACCGCGTTCCTTCCCTTTAAGGGAGTCGCGGATGTTATACAAATGAAAAGAAAAAGAAAAAAAAGAAAAAGAAAAAAAAGTAAGAAAGAAAGAAAGAATATTGCGCGTACAAGAGTTATATATATATATATATATACATATATCCACATACATACATATATATATATATATATATATATATATATGATTGAACCGGTGTACTCGTTAGTCGTCTCAACTAGTAGTTCTGCGACGACGGGATCGATCAAAGAAGAAAGATGAAGAAAGAAAGAAAGAAAAAAAAGAAAAAAAAGTAATAAGCAAAGCAATCGCAGAAGGAACGTGAGTCCAAATCAACAAAGAAAATATATTTACTATTGTGTGACTATTATATTACGGAGAGAATCAAACGTGTCGCATGTAGCATCGGAGGAAATATGCATACATAACGTTTATTACGATATATATATATATATCGTATTACGATATATATATATATATATAACATACATATGTATATATATATACATAAAAAAAAAAAGAAAAAGAAAAAAAACGGCGGTACATGCACACACAATATAAATAAGGGAACCACGTAGACTGAGTAAATGCAATATATATGTACGATGACCGTTCGCCATGTTGTTGAGCCGTTGAGCCGTGTGTTGTCGAGCTGTCGAGCCTGATTCGAAGTTCTATAGTAGCGTAATAGAGGGAGCCAAGGTGGAGAAAAGTCCGCGGTTAAGCAAATGGAAAGAGATGGAGATAGTTAAATGGGGAAATTAACGGAACGGGACATGCAATTCTTGAAAGACTGCAGAGGGACGGTTTTAACGACACCAAATACAAGATAGTACTGACATTGGATAGACTGAAGGCACTTTAGTAGTAACTTAACGCCATATCGTACTGTACCGTACTCTATTGAACAAAACAT